TTTATAGTTGTTGAAAATTTTGATTTTTTGATATAGTTTTATAATTGTTTGATCAATATGTATGATGAAAAAAATTCAGAAATTACTTGACGATGGGCCTTGAACAAGGGCACAATGATCATCGTAAAGGTTTCATAGATTTGATTTCATATATGAACTCACTCATCATCTGCAAACTATTTCTGTTTATTAAATATCTAATTTATTTTATCGTTTTACATTAATAAAACTCTCGGAAATATCGTTTTTACATGCATCGATAAATTTTTGCTTCTTGTTTTCTTCAATACGAAAGGCTACTTCAGCTCCATCTTCATCTCTTCCTATCCATTGAGTGTCATTATATATTGGATTGAGACGAAATATACGAAGATACAATGCACGAGTCCATGTTGTATAAAATCGACATTTGTTCTTATGACCAAAATCAACAAGATTGGCCCAATCATATCGCCAATTAGAATTAAGCACAATTCGATCATTAGAAATTGACATTTTAGGAAGTCCCTTATTACGCACTATTGTTCTCATCACTTTATCAGCGGTGGCTACCCAACGTCTGATAAATTCGATATCACGCGATTGATCAATTGTCTTACGAATAGTTTTGGCAATACTTGATAGAGATTTTGGATCTTCAAAAAAATTAGATAATGGCATCAAGACAGCATTTGCAATAAGACCAGGTTGTGCATCTGGATTAGATTCTTTTCGATAATTAATCATTATATTTGTACGTAGAATTAGTTCATCATTATTTTGTGCACAGTGAGTGTTAAGTGTAAGAATAATGTAAGCACACAAGGCATCTTGAATAGTCACACGTCTATCACCGATCAATGAATGTAATTCTTTAAGTTGTTCTCCGCGGAAATGAATGTTCACTTGATCATATTTTGCTGGATCTTTTCTATCATTTGTTTCCATCTGTTCACCATCCAAGAATTTTTTTATATCAGGTCTAAGAGATTCATCGGCTTCATCATGTAACCACACATGTCTGTTAAAGATAGGTATCGGTTTAGGTGCTTCCAGGTTTTGATATAAATGTGAAATCGTTTTTAAAAATTGTAAAAAAGCATCAGCATCTCCTAACATATGTGACCAACTTGCACCCATTATCCATTCTCCACTTTGTTTAATATGAGTAAGTTTCAAACGGAAAAGTGGTTCATCCCTGCAAGAATCACTTATCAATATTGTAGTTTGTACTTCATCTAAAAATTGTTGAAGTTGTTGTGAATTTTTATCAACTACAACATTCGAATCAAGAGGCCATTTTGTGAGATCAGTATTTTCGATCACAAAGACTGGAATAGCATTATCGGACATTTCAATTAAATAGTGTTCACCATCGTATCCGAGAAAACGACCAGCAATAAAAGGCCATGAAAATAGAGTGCGACTAAGTGCATCTTTGAATTTAACGACATCCCAACCCGATGGATAGACGAATAGATTATTGATAAGCCCTGTAATCCATAGATCAGTGCCAGCAAGTTTAATATGACGTCTAGTACCTATTCGTGGTACTTGATATACGAATAAAGTTGTCATCTTTGAATTTGAAAAAAGAAATGGATTGTACAACAGAGACAAGTTATGATGGTAATGAAAAACAAAAATGATCGTATCTGATTATTACATTTGTAATCTTGACAACAGGAAAGAAGGATTTTCTTCTTAAACATACAACATTGACCATGATAATAACGAAAGACATTCAGATAAATGTTGTGAATGGTATGTGGAAAATGTGAGTTCGGTTTATTTATACAATACTTAACGTAGAATGAATGACACTAGTAACGAAGAAGAATTGAAGTGACAGGAAGGAGAGGAGATAATAAGGTTTCAAATAGATCTAAGGAACTTTTTTCATTCGCTCCTCTACCATCTTCTATCAAATGAAAGATTTCATTGAGATAAGTATTTTTTGTGATGGAACTTATTATTTTTCAACGAACAAGTAAAAATTTTGAGCAGGATCAATATTTATGGTATGCTTTTTATCTCAATTGTTAGGTCATATGGTCCTCTAACACTGCTATATTTTATTTTTTATCGCCATTCTATAAGACGTCTTTATAGTTAAATAGCGCTAAATATGCTGATTACAAATCTCATCTTATCTCTTAAAACTTATTGAAAAATAACAGAAGTCTGAAACAACTTCTATAGTCCCAAAACTCAACTTTTGGTCTAAAAACTCATGGATATCAGGTTTAAATTCGTTGAAAATATTCTCATTCGATGCAGAACTGTTTTCTTTGTCAGAATCCATAAGAACTTTTTTGATATTTGAATGTTTTCTTATCGATAAATGTTAAATACCGCACCTATCGGGTCATGTTACAAATAATACTTTTACAGGTTTATATGAACTCATAGTCAACACAAGTGCACCAGCGAGATTTTCTATCGAATACGTAATTTAATGTGCTCTTCCTAACGAAACTATTTTCAACTGAAAATTCGTTATCTAGTCAAGCGCTTTTGCTGTAGTGCTACTCTTCGAACGCAATTTGTGTTATTTTTGACTAATCTTCGACAATTTTCCAACGGATTAATCCGCATTTGGCTTCAAATAGATATTAAATTTGAAATCTGCATGAACAAGCGTAGTTGATTTACGTGTGCTTGAATTTTTTTTCTGCTGCTTTTTGGATGAACTTTTTACCTATAATCATCCTCGAAGATATAGATAAAATTTTGTCGGTTAACAACATTTCACCGGTTTAAAACTGTCCTTACATTGCCAACATAGTTTGTGTGAATAAATTTAATTTTTCACTTGTCTCTAAGAGAGACTAGAGGATAAAAAGATTTACCCTAAAAAGCCACAGAAAAAATTTCAACCATAGATAGATGTTAGCGGTGATTCATCACCGAACCCTTGCTCTCTCTATCTCTATCTCTATCTCTATTCTTCTTATTCTTCTAACACTGTTATTGTTATACCTCTTGTTTTCTTTTTTTCTCTTCTCTGTTGTTATATATATATGTACGTGATTTAAGGACATTTAATATAGAGATATAATAAACAAAACGTAAGCTCGTCGAAGCGAGCTAACAATTTGGTGCCGTGACCCATCTTCTTCTATTTACCACACCGAAGAAGAACGAATTCCTTAATTAATTTACTCATCCGTAACGGAAAGAGTGAAGCATAATCTCATCCTTTTAAGGGAAGAGAGAGAAAAATTACATACATATATATTATTTATTCATTAGAAGAAGTGCATTTTTTTTAACAACGGCTACCGGTACAAGAAGAGCGATTAAAAAAAGTGGAGCAAATATTTTATCATATGAATTAATTACCAATTCACCAACACGAATAAGAAATAAAAAACAAAACAATATGTCATTTATGCAAGAAATGGAAACAACTTCGATGGAAGGTCGACAAATTTATTTAAGCCAAAAAGAAGTAATGAAGAAAATAGCTGAATTTTCAGGAGAAGCTGATGAAATTGATATTGATGAATGGATTTTTGATTTAAATAATTTATTTTCATTAATGAAATTAAAAGATGAAATAAAAGTTCTCGAAACAATGGGCAAATTAACAGGACCAGCATTACGATGGTATCAAGAAAATTTAAGATCATTCATTACCTGGAATGATGCTGAAAAAGCACTACGTGATCGATTCAAAGAATTTACATCTAACAGTCAATTAATGCAAGAATTTTTTAACATTCATCAAGAAGAGAACCAATCTGTTATATCATTTTATGAAAATGTAATTCGGAAATATAGAAAATCTCGACAATTTATTACTGAACAACAAGTTATCACAGTATTACAAAATGGTGTTAAAAATTCATTAAAAGAATATTTAATTCGTAATGAAAAAGAAATTAAAAAACCAGAAGAATGGTTGCAATTAGCAAAAGAAGAAGAATATATACAAAAACGAATTCAACAACAACGTAATGGTTCATATTCTGGAACAACAAATAAAACATTTTTTGAACATATATTACCAACTGCAACAGTTCAAGCAACACCATCGAACTTTCAATTGTCGAGTCAACAGCCCTCTACATCACGTCATTACTACAAACAACAACATCAACAGCTACCATCATTAACAAACAATCGAACATACTCAAAACCAAATAAGTTTATAAATCGCCAACAACATCGAGAAAATTATTCAGAAAATAAAATTCAAAAATCCAATCCATGTTTAATTTGCAATAAAAACAATCATGCAACAATAAAATGTTTTTATAAGAAGAACAACGGCTGTTTTAAATGTGGACAATCAAATCATCAAATACGTGATTGTCCTCAACAACATTTTTTCGAATAAAGGGATCGGATGATGGCGACGATCCCTGTGGAGCCAAAAAGTCATCAACCACAACAACATTTACTCCCATTTTTGTTAAAATTTTATGCAACAACACTCCACAAATAGCACTCATCGATACCGGATCGGCCATCACCATTATACATCAACATTTATTAAATGATATACCACATGAAAAATTAATACCAAAAACAATAAATCATTTATCTGCCAATTGCTCAACATTAAATATTATTGGTGAAATACTCTTAGAAATAAATGTTAATGGACTAAAAACAACAGTTATTGCTGATGTTACAACAAATCTTGTTACGAATTTAATATTAGGTAGTGATTGGATTCAATCAAACAATGTTTATATTCTTACACCTGAACAACGAATTATGATCCGAAGTCGAGGTAAAGAAGTATCAACTCCTTTTGTAAAACCACCTCTTTTAAATTATCCAGTTACTCTTATTAATCATATTACTCTTCCTCCTTTTTCAGAAAAAATAGTAGAAGCACAAGTTCAACATAACAATATGATAGATGTATTATTTGAACCAAATCCTCGATTAAAAAATAAAGCATTATTTACTCCAACTGCATTATTGAACATTGAAAACAGAAGAATAAAAATTAGTATAATTAATGCAACGAACCGACAACAAACACTTTCCGAAGGAACCAAATTAGGTATAGTGACACAATTATCTTCTACAATTGGTGTTACCATACCATCGAATTATTTCATCGAACGCATTCCGGAAGGAAAAGCGTGTAAAGAGCTCATTCCTGAAGGGAAAGAAGCGAACAAATCAAATAAATTAAATGGTAACAACATACCAACTATAACACCACATGGAAAACAATATCAATGTCGTAAATGTTATCAACATTTTGATACTAGCAATGAATTATTCAAGCATCTTAGAAATCAATGTTATCCTGACGAAATAAGACAGCAAATAAATAAATTAACTGAACATATTAACGATGATAAACAACGAGAACAAATTTTAAAAATTTTATGGAAATATGGAAAATTATTTGACATTAGTGAACCATCAAAAATTGATATAATTTTAAAAAATGCTATTGATACTGGTACACACCGTCCTGTTCATACTCCACCATATAGAAAATCAAACAAAGATCAAGAAACCTTAAGAAAAGAAACAGATAAATTATTAAAAAATGGAATTATTGAACATTCAACATCACCATGGTCTTCACCTGTCGTTTTAGTAAAAAAGAAAGATGGAACAACAAGATTTTGCGTCGATTATCGTCGTTTGAATCAAATTACAACAAAAGATGCTTTTCCTCTACCAAGAATTGATGATATTTACGACCAATTAACAAAAGCAGCATATTTTACAAAATTTGATTTTAAAGCTGGATATTTCCAAGTACCATTAGACAAATTAGATCGACCAAAAACAGCATTTTCAACTCGAGATGGACATTTTCAATTTAAAGTATTACCACAAGGTCTTACTAATGGACCACCAACATTTCAACGTATTGTTAATCAAATATTAGGTCCAAACAGATGGAAACATGTACTCGCCTATATCGATGATATTATTATTTATTCACAAAATTTTAATGAACATTTAAAACATATCGAAGAAGTATGTTTATTATTACAAGAAGCCAATTTTAAATTAAATGTTGACAAATGCGAAGTTGCAAGAGCAGAAATATTATTTCTTGGACATTTAATTAAAGCAGGTACTATTAAACCTGATCCAGACAACATCCGTGGTTTGACCGAAACACGTGAACCAACATCAGCTGAAGAAGCATTTAGATTCGTCAAAGCAGCAGAATATTACCGAAAATTTATTCCAAAATTTTCCACCATCGCTGCACCATTACATAAATATTCTCCAGCAACAGTACAACAACAGAAGAATAACAAAAAATTAAAATTTGAATTATCTGCTGAAGCTAGAACAGCATTCCACCAACTTAAGAAAATCTTAACAACTGATCTTATTCTTGATTTACCTGATGATACATTATTATTTAAATTACAAACTGATGCTTCTGTAGATGGAATTGGTGCTGTTCTATTACAAATTACTTCCAATGGTGATCGACCATTAGCATATATGTCAAAGAAATTAACAAGAACACAAATTAATTGGCCAACAATTGAACAAGAATGTTATGCAATAGTACAAGCAATAGAAAAATGGGACAAATATCTTCGTGGACACGAATTTATATTAGAAACTAACCATGAACCATTAATTCATTTTGCAAACAAAGAACAATTAAATAAAAGATGTGAACGATGGCGATTAAAATTAGCTGAATATCGATTTAAGGTGAAACATATTCAAGGTAAGAAAAATCATATGGCAGATTATCTTTCAAGATCACCAGTCGACATAGCTGAAGAAGATATTGAAGAACGAACTCAGTATGAATCAACATCAACACAAACAGATTTATCATTTTCATCATTAAATGATAATTTGATTCCATTAAAAATAACAACAGCAATTACTAGAGCTCAAGCCAAATTACAACAACAAGCAACGGCAACACCATCTATTAAACCGACGGATGGAAAAATTAATGAGCTCATCCCACAAGGGAAAGTAGCGACTGATGAAGAACTGATAATCAAACCATCAGATGAAAATCCAAATAAGATCATCCCATTTGATATGGATGATTTAAGAAAATGCCAAGAAGAAGATAAAACAACTCAAGAAATAAAAAAGAATAGTAAGAATAAAAAACATTATTTTGTTGAAGATGGAATATTATTTAGGAAACAACAACTACCACTTTTGCCAGTTCCATATGTTCCAGCAGGACGAATACGTGCTGATATATTAAAAATTTATCATGATACACCTGCTAATGGAGCTCATTTTGGACGTGACAAAACAATAAGAAAAATTCAAGAACGTTATTATTGGCCAACAATGATAGCAGATATTAGAAATCATTTAGATTCATGTTTACCATGTGCACAAAATAATTATTGTCGTCAAAAATTACCGGGAAAATTAAAACCAATACCACCACCAGAAGGAATATGGAAATTATTAAGTATGGATTTTCATGGTCCAATAACTCCAACATCAAAAAAAGGAAATAGATACATTATATCTCTAACAGATGTATTATCAAAATTTGTTATCACAAAAGCTGTTCGAGATTGCTCAGCAACAACAGCAGTGAAATTTCTTATAAACGATGTTATATTAAAATATGGCACTCCAACATGTATATTAACCGATAAGGGTACTCATTTTACTTCTCAAGTTATGAACAAATTATTTGAAAATATTGGAGTCACTCATCTCTATTCTACAGTATATCATCCACAGACAAATGGACAAATTGAACGATTCAATGCAACTATGGATGGAAAAATTGCCGCTTTATGTAATGAACGACGTACAGACTGGGATGAAGTATTACAATTTGTTACATTTAATTATAATACATCAATACATGCAACAACAAAACAAACACCATTCGAAATGATGCATGGAAGACAAGTTACACTTCCATTTGATCAACAAAAAGAAATTATTTCGCTCACACAAGATCCAGAGCACAGTCAAAAAATTAAAATATATCTCGAAAAATTAGTAAATGAAGCTCGAAACAATATTATAAAAAATCAACAACAATATAAAGCCCGATATGATTTACATAGACAAGATTTATTATTAAAAGTCAATGATCTAGTTTTAGTAAAAACAAGAAATGTTAGAAATAAATTTGATATACGATATGAAGGTCCATTTAAAATTATTAAACAATTAGGACATAAAACATTCATTGTTCAACACGTAAAGAAATTAACATTAACAAGACAAGTAACAATGGATGTTATCGTTCCTTTGGTGGAACGATGGAATTTAATTTAATAACACACATCCTCAAACAAAAGGGGAAAGATGTGGTATATGATAATATAAATAGTAAAGTATATGCAACAATAGCAAAATTCAAAAAAAAAAAAAAAAAAGAAAAAAAAATATATATATAATAAATATTATTATTATTTAAATTAATTAAAAAATGATTGAGTCGGATTCAGCAGTCCATGTCGGGGAGACAGAATGTCACCTTCTCACTGACAAGGAGGGGCTGTCTAACTCAAAAATTAAATTTAATTGATTTTACTTTATGTATTTGTATGCATATTAGTCATCACATACATATATTATACACGATGACTCATCCACCAATCACAATGCATTATAATCGAGGCACTTTTACAGTGTTGGCGCCATACTGTACAGTACGAACGATAATGCACGTGTTCCGGTTGGACGACTTTACTATTATCTGAACATTAACATGATATATATATTGACCACATCAAAAGGAAAGAAAAATTTTATATATGGATAACAATAGCACCGTCTGATATATACAAAGGAAAGAAAAATTGACCTTATAGACGATGACCTTAGTGAAGAAATATTTTATTACGACATTAAATTATAAATTACGCATTTTCATTTTAGTTATACATCATTTGATCTTTTTGATACATCAAACAAACATACATTTATCTTAGTGATTTACTATGTCTGGCTTAACAAGAAATTCGTCTGATCCACCACGGTACTTCTATGACTTAAATCCAGAACAACAAAAAAATTGGATGAAAACTACTCGTCGAATGGAAAAAAATGAACAACTACGAGCTGAATATCCACCTTTTCAATCACCATCAAATTTTACAGTTCTTCATCTTCACCATTATTCATCAATCGAAACAATCGAAGAATTAATAAGGATGGCGAAAACAACACATATATATATACAATCGACACAGAATCACAAGTAATAAACAAAGTAGCAAAAGGTGCCCTCGTACAAATCCAATTCGTTCATTCAATTCATGAATCAACATTAATATTAATTGAAATGTTTTACTTACCAAATCAAGATTCATTGTTATTCAAGAAAATCAAAGAACTTTGTTCAATTATACTTCGTGATGAAAATACAAAAATTACCTGGGGACCATTCAAAAATGAATTTAAAAATTTTTATTCATATGGATTATTTGAAAAAGGTAAGATTAAAAATGCAATAAATTTACAGGATCGTTTTAGTGACTGGTACAATAAATCTGCAAGTATCACGCATCCCGTAAGGGAAAGTCGTGAAAAGCAAACCAGCTGGTCCTTACAAGATGCAATTAAAATAGTTTTTCAACAATTTCTGGACAAAAATGAAACAGTTAACAAGTGGCGTTGTGGACTGGACTTCAAACTCAACACATGGAAGAGAAAACTCTTTAGTAAGAACGATTACAATGCAAATGAAGAAAAAGAAAAACGTATTACAATGATACAATATGCTGTTGCCGACTGCACCGCCGTCACCAAACTTTATTTTATGATATATCCATCGAACTCAAGCATTCGAACAAGTTATGAAACACCAACAACAGCATCAACAAACATTACATTAAATATTGATAATTTATCTGACATTAGTAATGATGAAGAACCTCAAATATTAATGCCAAGATTTGACAAAGAACCTCAAATATTAATGCCCAGATTTGATCAACCACCTCAAATATTAATGCCAAAATTTGATGAAGAACCTCGAATATTAATGCCATACTTTGATAAACCACCTCAAATATTAATATCAAAATTCGACGAACAAAATTACTTAACAATTGAAACAACCGAAGAAGAAATGAACGAATTTAATGCACAAGAACAACAACAAGCACAAGAACAAACAACAACAACAAGATTATCCAAATCGGAAAAACAAAGAAAGAAAAACCTGAAGTTAAAATTGAAACAAAAATATCATCCCAATTTTCAGCGTAAAATAAAAAGGCCCATTTATTACCGATATGATTACAAAAAAATTAGGGCTCAATTATGTGATGATAATATATATACAAGCCATCAAATTAGAATAAATCGTAAATATAATGAAGTTATTATTGGCTTCAAATCTCGACAACAATTAGAACGTGCAAGAAATATTATGAAAATTAATTATTTCTCAAAAAATCAATATATTGAACGATGGGGGTAAGAAAAAAAAAATAATATAAAAATAAAAAAAAAAAAAAATAACAACAAAAATAATAATAAAAAATTTAAATAAATAAATAAACAAAATAAACAAAGCGTAAAAACAAATAAATATTAGCGACGTTTATAAGAACTTACAACCACCAACCAAAACAACACAATCATTTTTCAATCAACAGATTCATTACAATGATAATCAAACATTACTTAAATATTGTCGATGAATGAATCTGGTCGTATTGAATAATCAACTATTATTATATGATTACAAACAACTTATGATGCTAAAGACTGATACAATATATATATATATATATATCAATATGAAGATTTAGCATGTCCAATGTATGCACCAATCATCATCAATTACTTATTAATGTCAATGTTAAAATAAGTTATATTTATGTTTCGGAAATGACTCTAAACTGAACGTATTCAACATGATGATGTTATACTATCAACATAAACGTGATATATATAAGTGATTACCTATAGAAATAATTCAAAAAAAAAAAAAAAAAAAAAAAAAATTAAAATTAAATAAAAAAAATTTTTTTCTCATTTTGTACACAATACCAAATAAACAACATCAACAAATCATACAATAAGTGGGAATAAATAAGAAATTGTACTTTAGTAACCAGGACAAGCAACAATCAATTAAATAATGATGATATCACTTATTCAAATAATTCTTGGTGCTTTATTGGACTTGTCGACTCGAATAATGACTAATCTATTCATTCAAACTATAATGAATTTATTCATACAACATAAATTAAATCATTATTATTTATTCGAAAGATTCTTGATCCATCTAGTGCACCAACTATGAATTTACTTATTTGAATAATCATTAATATGTTTACCTAAATTACTCCGAAGTTATTAATTCGAATGATTATTAATATATTTTCTTTGAATAACTATGAATAATAAATTTAGCCATTGAACGATCATTAATGTATTCATTTGAACATATTAAAATTATTTTGTCTATCGAACAATTATTAAATTTTATTTATTTAAGTACTATGACTTTATCGTGTCCAATATGTCTTGCTCTATTGATTGAGACAATTATAAATTTGTCTATGAAACCCAACAATATTATATTCAAATAAATCATATTCAATTAGAAATTCGTACTGAAAAAATCTTTCAATTATTAATTTATCGAACAACACATTTAAATATTGATATCTAATATCGTACATTAGACAATCAAACGACCCATATTGAATAATTAGGGATTGATTCACCAACAAATATACAATGTT